GTGATAAAACAAGATATGTTTTTCGAAATGATATGTTCTATACAATGAATGATTGTTCAATTTCTGACATGTATTCGTGACATCCTTAGTATCATGTGATATCTGTTAGCTGTTACCCGGTATCGGAGGTTCCTTTATGGAACTGATATCTGTCTGCACTCTATTACCCGTACCGGAGGCCCTGTCATGGGGGCTCAGCTTCTGTTCTGTTCTGTTCTGTTACCCGGATCCGAAGGTTCCTTTGTGGAACTGGTTATTCGTAACCTCACGCGTATGCGTTCTGTTCTATTCTGTTAACGCTAAGGGATGTATCACGTAAACTTAATCATGACTTATGATTTCTGTCTGTATATAATATAGACAAATTGTGATTTTGATATGAAACTGAATTATGATTTCTGAATCTGTACGAACTCATTCATTGAAACTCCTTTACTCTATTATTATTCACTGGGCTTTCGCTTACAGTTTATATTATGTATGTAGGTGAGACAGCACCTGACCAGGGCCAGAGTTGACGGCCTTCTGTTCTATTTTGTCAGCCAACTATTGTGCCTCTTTAGGAGGTTCCGAACGAAGCCTAATGCCATGGCTGTTTCTTTTTGTGTTCATGCTAGTCATTGTATATGTTTTGGACAAACAAGTCTTGGGATGTACATTGTTGTAAATATTGTGTATCTAGACTGGCATGTTTATGTATATATATATATAAGTTTTGAGATGTTCTGTCCCATGTATGTTATCACAGTTCATTAGACCTTGTCTATTTTGTATTATTGCTTCCGCAGCCCCTTATTACTTGGCAATCTGTTCTGAGGCCTTTGGTAATCCACGGATTATTGGCCGGTTACGGTGCTAAACCTACAGGGGCGAGTTTGGGTCGTGACAGGCTATTTAAGTTAAAATAGCCAATAAAGACAAAATAAGTTAGCATAGTCAATAAGACAAAATGTCATATCCAACTCATAATTATTTTATTTTGTTCTCTCACAATCATCAAATCAACTACAAAAAAATTAACTATATTTCTAAATACAACTTTTTTAGCTACGTTAAAATAGCCAAAAAGCCAACTGCTCAAATGATGCCTTAGTTAATTATGATTTAGTTCACTTATGTATTGTTAATCAAACCTTTTAATAATTCGAAAGAAGTCGATTATTCCATACTTTTATATAATTAATAGTATTAATGTAGGATATGCTATATAGCAATCAATCTAAATCCCTAAAGAGAAGTCTTAGTGTACAAGATCTCAGCTACTGCATGCTATAAAAAAAGTTAGATGTTAGCTATTGCATGCTGATGTAGGCCGAAAGGTACTAAATTGAAGCTGCTTAAGTTACATTTATAGTCTTTAAATTTTGTTTATTTGGTGAAGATGATGTGTTTTGTGCACTTGTACAGATTTGGCAAGCAATACACAAATTCAAGCAAAAAGTGGTCCAAAAGCAAATTTTCCGTGTGAGTGGTGAAAAGTCTCGACCTGCCACCTCACCGCATGTGCGGCCAAGCTCCACTGCATGTGCAGCCTACCTAGGGTTGCATGCGTGAAAATTTAAGGCTCTTTTGCTAGGAATAAAAAGAAGAAAAAGAGGCTGTAACCAGGTTCGAAAATATTTTCAGAGAAAATGGAGGTTAGCATTTAAAGAAAGGGAATTCTCAATCTTCGAGGATAGTTTTATGGAGGTTTCTTCTTCTTTTACTTCTTTCCACACCTCCATAAGTGGCTAGGCTCTTCTTTTCTAGGGTTTTAATGAAACCCTAGCCACGTAAATAGGTTTTCTTTTTGATTTTCTTTTATGTAATAGTTTGAACAATTGTATGGTTCTCAATAAGTGTTATAATATAATTTTTCATTATTTCTTCGAATATTTTGCTTTCTGTGATTGTTGAATGCTTTCTATATAATGGCTTTCTACTCTTTCATGTTCAAGGTATGAAACCAACCATGCTACGAGGGATGAGTTGTGTTGATACCCTAGTTTAGAGCGAACAACTCGTACTACTTGAGATGGTTCATGCATATATATTAAACGTGTTAATTTTCTTGATTAATGCTTCGAGCTTATAGGTGCAAAGTATTATTTAGTTTGAACCGTGACATAATTGAGTCTTAAATTGAAGCCTTGTTTATGTAACTAGTGGTAAATTCATTACCCTAGGTTTTTCTACAAATCAGTAAATTCATCTTTATTTATAATTGTTAGTTTATTCGCTTAATTTAATTTAATTATTATTAGGTTATGAACAACCATCTCTTTCATCAGAATTAATTTAGGAATTTAATAACTAAATTAGTTTAATTTCACAATTGTCCCTGTGGATCGATGTCTGGACTTGCCATTATTCTAAGTAATTTGATACAGTTTATAGTTTATTTTTAGTGTATGAAACGACCCATCACATGCTATAAAAAATGTTAGATGTTAAATTCATGGAACAAAATATCAATGCACGATACTGCTATTTTTGCATGATTTGCAAAAAGCAAAATGTATGCAACCTTCTTTATTTCCATATGCAAAGAAACTATGTTTTATAATTTGAATTTGGGCACTACAAGGATTTACACATTTCGCGACCACTTTTGCCGACCAAAATAATTTTGGTCGCAAAAAAATGACATTTGGCGACCAAATATTAATTAGTCACGAATGATCATTATTTTTGGCGACCAAATATTATTGGTCGTAGAAGGTTATATTTTGGCGACCAAAAAATAAGTTGGTCGCAGAAAGTGGTATGCTTTTGCCGACCAACTATATGTTTGGTCGCGAAAGGTCACATATTTTTTGGCGACCAAAATTTTGGTCGCCAAAAACTTATTTTCAGCAACCAAAAAAAATTAGTCGCCATATTAGCACTTTTAGCGACTAATATTTTAGTCACCGTTGATTGAGATTTGGCAACTAAAAAAATTTGTCGGTAAAGGGTACATTTTCTGCGACTAATCTGATATTTTGGTCGCCAAAAATTTGGGAGGGAATTTTGAAACGTGGGGCGGGAATTGAAATTTTTGCACTAGGAAAATAGAAAAAAAAAATTAAAAAAAAGCCCTGTCCATCTCGCAAGCTCCATCGTAGCTGTAAAAACTCCAGTCTATCTCTCGCAAGCTTCTCTCTCGCAAGCTCCATCGTAGGTCTTCGCTCTGTCCATCTTGAGCTCCATTGCAGATCTGTTAAGATCTACATGCTACAGTAGATATATATCTCAGACTTCTTTGCTTCACCAACACTCCGGTCTATCTCTCTCTCTCTCTATATCTATATCTATATCTATATGTAGGGAGAGAAAACGCATAGTAGAGAGAGTAAGCAAAGGTACAGATCTAGATCTGTGGCGTGTGGCTTCACCAACACTCCAGTCTATCTCTCTCTCTCTCTATATATATATCTATATCTATATCTATATGTAGAGAGAGAAAACGCATAGTAGAGAGAGTAAGCAAAGGTACAGATCTAGATCTATGGCGTGTGTGAAGAAGATGAACTCCATTGTAATGACATCAAAGATCTTACTGATTGCGGTCTTCGTCTTCGATGTCATTGCCTTTGTGTTGGCTGTTGCTGCTGAGCAGAGGCGAAGCACTGTAAGCTCTGTTCCAATGGAGTTGATGTTGTGAATTGAATTTTAATTGAAGCTCTGTTCCAATGGAGTCAACTTTATCTGTAACAAGAACAACACTCTTCATTTGTCGTTTACACCGTCCGATTCATTGCCAATCCGTGTCTCTTCAACTCACACGACCTTTCAATGGCGAGTCTCAGAGATCAAAAGCATTGAATTCAATCTCTCATTCCCCAAATTCGCTCACGACTTTGTGTTCTGTTCGCTCTCGCTTGCACGGTGCTGCTTCGCTCCCTTCCGCAGCCGACGGTGACACGGTGATTTTGATTTGTCTCTTTTCTCCCTCTTTATCTCTTTTCTCCGCGTGATTTTGATTTGTTCTTTATAATACTCGTTCAAAGGTTCCGATCACTATTGAAACTCATAATCCGTAATGGGTCTCTTTTGTTTTGATCGATCAATTGGTATTTTTGGGTTTAGATCCTTTGTTGCAGATCGTTCTTGTTTCAATTCCAATTTTGGGAATCTGATTTGGGTTTTGCTGAATTTTTTGTTGGATGATTGTTTAAAGAATTTTAATAAATTATTCGATGAATTATCCCATTTATGATGTAAATATTTGGTTGTGGACAAATTATTTGATGAATTATCCCATAATTATTGCTTATTGCAATGTAATTCCCATGTTGCAGTTCATGAGGCTTGCATATTTAATTGGTTCAGATATAGAAAGAAGTCCTGTCAATAGGTAGAAACACAACTTTTTAGCATACCAATCCTATTTGAAAGTGGTAGTCAACATTGCCAAAGAGTTCCTTTGATGTTGCACTGTGGTCCTCCAACTCTCTCTCTAATATATTTTTCTTTTGTGCAGTGCTTCACTCAGCATGCTACCTTGGCCTAAGCCGGCAGTTTGGCCTTTAGTTCCACCTGATGCTTCATCTGAGGTGTTTGAGAAGGAAAAGGTGAGGTTTTTAATTTGGTATTATTGACATGTAACTAGGAAAAGGCTTGTAAATTTGAGCACTGATATAAATTATAATTCACATGTATAGGGAATGTTTATCCTGAATTGGCTATATTGATGCCTATGACACCTAGTATTCTTTGGCTCAATAAGAATTTATAATTCTATGCAGTGAAATGGGTGCACTAAAGACACTCAATAAATTAATAATATGGCATGTACATGTTGTAGTTTATAAGAAATAATGATGTTTGACGTAAAAGTTTTTCTGAACACTGCATCTTACATGGTTTTAGTCACTCAATCAATCCTATTTAGTTTATGTGCACCTGTCGTCCATGGGTATCTCTTTTGATAGATTCAATTTATGAGCCGTCTTTTGCAGACATTACATCAGGTGCACATGCTTGTGGGAGGAAGGCCACAGACCATGTGATGAATCACTGAAAGGCAATTTATCAAGAGAGGCATTGAGTCATCTCTTGAAATTGGTGGAGTCAAGGGTGCATACAAGGTATGTCTGTGCAACATTGTGGAAACATGGAGGCTGATGAAGCTCAAAATTTAAAGTTGGACAGTTTAGGTGTGGTTTGACCAACTCAAGTTTCAAATGAGTTTTACAGGTTCAATTACTTTGGATTCATGATAGTTGATTTGAGTTCTCTGGTTAGGCTTGCAATAATAACTTTGAGATTACTATTTTTGAAAACCATTTAATTTAATTTTTATTTTTTTGCCCCAATGGGAGAGGTTTATTGAAATTAGTGTTGATAAGGTGGTGGATGGGGACAAATATTTGAAGTTTGATGGAATTTTTTGAATATTTATTTTTCTTTTCTTTTTGGCAGTAGGGAAAATTTAGCTTGAGCATGAAGAAAATTTATAGTTTTTATTTTAAACATACAACTAGCCAGTATTTATTGAGGGGGGGATGTGGTTGTTGTATCACATGAAATAAATGTGTGAAGTTTCTACAGGTTGTGGATTCAAATCATACGACTAATACAAATTTGTTGTTTCAACATATAGTATACTGTGCTGCATAATATACGTACTAGCTTGCTCACAGCTCTGTTTTGGAGACGATGTTATTGCGAAGAAATACATGTCAAATATGTCAAGAGATGAAGGGGAAATTTTATAATTTACAGAAGAAATTTGAGAGAACAAATTTTATTTTATTTTATTTTTTGAAAAGGCAGAATGGATTTTGTTAAAATGAAAAAGTAAGTGCTACCATTTAAGGAATTTGAGAATATATGAGAGTACTAACCAATCTTTGAGGCATCATTGTTGTCTCTGTGAAGATTTTTTCACCCAAAAATTTTGGACAAGTGAAAGGATTAGTGAGAGTATGACATATCAAGCCAAAGCTTATCATGTGAAATATAGAGTTTAAAACATTTCCTATCTTGCATTCAAGTTAGTATAGAAATTTATTAACTAATGAAGAGGTTGGACCCATTAGGTTAAATTGCTTTTAATTTTTAAGTTAAATTGTTCTTGGACAAACATTGAAAATATGTGAACTTTTAGGATTTGTTCACATGTTTTTTTTTTCTCCAATCAACATAAGTTGTTTCACTTTAAGTTACACGGACTCAGGTATAAATGTCGGATAGGGCTGTTCATGGGTCGAGTTAGCTTGGGTTTACTGTCAAACCGTCACTAGACCTGACTAGATCAGGTACGGAAAAAAAGCACCCAATTCCGACTGAGCACTTGTCAAAACTACAAAGCATCGAATCTATCTTCAACGGTTGATTTTCGGTTCGGGCGAGCAATATCTGACATTTGTTTTAATCTTAGAAAAAGGTTGAGGATTGAGAAAAGGGGGCTTCAGGAGGGGACGTAAATTGTAGAGGGGAGGAAGTAGAAAGGGTTTCATGAGGGTAGATGGAGGAATGAGATCAGAGAGTGAGAGAGGAAGTGAGCTAGATGTTGTCGTCCCTCTGAGAGGAAGTGAGCTGGAAGTAATAGTGCTTGTTTTCATTCCTTTTCTGCAGGGGCTTGGCCTGTTTTAATAGATGACTTTGTTGAGCACATGTATAGGTTTGATCTCTATCCATTGATCTTTTTCTTATAGAATTTGTAGTGTGTTCCTTTTATTGTTATTTAATAAAATAATGCTTTTATTGTTGTCATTGTTGCTTTTATTGTTATTGTTCTCATTATTACTACTTCTCTGCTAGCTCTGAGAAAGGATGGAATCATTCGTTGATATTATGTGTTTGATTTGAAGATGTGATCAAAAGTGCATTTTCATAATTTTATATATTCCAAAGCAAAAAAGAAAAATAAATTTGACTGTTGGTTTCATTCAAAAGGAAAAAAAAGGAACAAACAAAAAGAGACATATTCCCCAAATTGCTAAGAGTATTGAGGTTGGATTTACTCTTTAAAACATTAGTTTCATCCATTTGTTTCAATAACCCATGCTTTGCTATGTCATAAGCATGAGACACCATACTACATAAATTGTTTGTAGAGAGTGCTAAGTTGAAGTTGCTGCAAAGCGATAAATATTAAGCTGAAAATATGATATATGGGTTAGTAATGTATTTTCACTAAGTTGAAGTTTTGATCTTGTAGATTGGTCGATTGGTTATCTCGAATTAGTTTGGTTAATTGAAAATTGGGTTTAAGAGATAGCCTCAGTTTTTATCTTTTACATTGTTCGATTGATTAGGTTAATTAAAAATAGGGTTTAAGATGGTTTTTTTTAATCTCGTTTGAAATAATGTTGCTCTGTTTTTATCATGGATTTTTAGGCTTCTTCATGAAACTGATCTTCATCCTTACTAACTGCTGAGGAATTTTTAGGCTTCTTCATGGGTTTGTACTTCTTGCTGAGGAATGAGGACCATTTTGATGATCTCAAGAGGGCTACAAGGTCTGAGTTTAAGTGGGAGAAACCAGAAGGTTGCCCTGATAATATCCCTCTCTATGAACTTGCCAGAGGTGGTTATAGGCAACTTGCTAAAAAGCTTTCTTGCCATCAGGTATGTCGATTCTTACGAGTTTTTAGCTTCTTGAGCTTCTTTAGACTGATTTATGTTGCGCGGAAAATGGGTCTGCTTATAGCAAAGATGTACATGTGTTTCTACGGGTCAAATAATGCAGTCTCCAAATCTTAACAAGGTTATGAAATCGGTTGTACCTCGAATAATGTGTTTTGTGTGATAGTAATACCAATCAAATTCATGTTTGCAAGTAGTACTGGTTTTTTATGTACATGTCATCTACGTGGTAGCAACTTTGACTTCCCATTAAAATTTACATTATGGTCAGTGAGTCTACATATTTGTTTTGGTTATTGTGTTTCCTTTTCTCTTTTCCTACATTTGTTCATAATATCAAGTTAGTGATGATGGTACACATAATTTGTATGGAACACTGACAATGTATTTGATTTTATACACATAAAATTACTTCTTATGAGAACAGAAAGTAATCATATGTTTTAAACTCTTGGGTTATTGGTTGTCACTTCAGTTGAAAGACCTTGTTCTTATTGTTCATCTCATCTCTAATTCATATTCGTTTTGAATAAGTGGTCAGTTTTGTGTGCTTAGTAGTTCATTGTCTCTTGCAGAGATGAAATATCTGGATGCAGTGAAAAGGCCTATGATTCACTTTCAATTAATGATGCCCGAAAAATATAGATGTTCTCTTCTGACCAAGAACTTTTTGAGTATGTCAAGGAGGTAAACTTCCTGCTACTTAACTCATTTTTATTCTTCTTGTTAATCAATAGAATGCATTACTGGCTAGATATGCTTTGATGGTCTATAGTTTAAGAGCAGTACTAAGCATCTAATTGAAAGTCATTCTTGGTTTGCTCATTTCTTTTATATTGTTGTTCTTTCTGCCAAGAGCAGTAGTGAGTAAATTCTTGTTCTCAAAACAATGTGGTCCCTCCTCCTTTAGGGTTTTTTACTTTCAAATCCTACTGCTCTTGGCAGGAAGAAGTGAGTAAATTCTTGTTCTCAAAATAATGCTAAACTCATTTTCAATTTTTGTTTGGGAATACGGATTTTAAATTTCAATAGATGCATTATGGGTGTCTTGTCATTCATATTATCATTACATTAATGACGCCACCATAATCCACCCACATGGAAGCTTTGAAATGTTATTTAGTGTCCAATTTAAGGGCTCCTTGATAAGCATTGTTTTATGTGCAATTTGCAGGAACATCCTGAGTGGGAGATAAAGAATGGGTTTGTAATTTTCCATAGGGCAAAAAAATCTGCGGCTTGCAAGGAGATACTGTCTCTGCAACTAATAAACCAGACACTCAGTTACGCAAGGGAGTTGGAGTGGATAGTGTGAAAGACATGATGCTCCAGGGTTGTTTGTGCTCCTCACTCTATGATCTATCTTCCTAATGCAAAATTATATTGCTTTGAAGAAATTTCCCACCTTAAATTTATTAGACCTTTTTCTATTTAAATTTGTTTAGTATTGGAAAGTATACATTTAGATCTGTTCCCTGCAGTGAAAACTGTTTTGTGTAATTGCAATCATTCCATGGGGTAAAAATTACAACTAAACTCTGCCCAATTGAATCAGTTGCATATAAGACTAGTAGATGGAAACTATTTTATTGTTTGATGATTTAGCGAAGTTACAAGAAAAGAAATTTGTTAATGATTATTCCTAAGCTTTTTCTTTTTTAAATGTTATTGTTCCTTAATTGTGGTTGGGTTGAATGAATTTTGTTCGATATTGGATTGAATGTTTATAAATAAAAATTGATTGTTCTAAAAAAAAAAAAATTTGGCAACTAAAAAATTGGTTCGCAAATTTTACACTTTTGCGACTAAAATCATTGGTCGGCAATTCCTTACCTTTTGGCGACTAAATTGTTAGTCGGCGATTCATCTACTTTAGGCGATTAATCTGTTTGGTCATGGAATGTGACAATTGGCAACAAAGACAATTGGCGACCAAAATTTTTTGGTCGTGAAATGTCACAATTGGCGACCAAACTTTTTGGTCGTGAAATGTGTCAATTGGCGACTAAGATATTTGGTCGGGAAAATATCACTTTTCGCGACCAAAGTGTTTTAGCGACTAAATGAATTAGTCGCGGTAATGATATATTTAGCGACCAAAAATTTAGTCGGCAAATCTAACTTTTCCCGACCAACCAAAATTTTGGTCGCGAATTACTTTTGCCGACCCTCAATTGGCGACCAAAGTAGCGACCAAAAAAATTGGTCGCGGATAACTTTTGCCGACCAAAAATGGACTTTTAGCGACCAATTTTTTGGTCGGCAAAAGTGTTAATTCTTGTAGTGGGGACACTCATCAAATTTAAATTACTACAAAAAAAATTAAAAATTAAAAATAGATACAATTTGTTTAGTAGATTCTTATGAAATCCTTTTTGTTTTTCTTGTTTTGTAAATCGCGATTCACATTATTGTTTTTAACCAAAGAAAACTACTTCAAATAGTGTAACTAAGGCCTTGTTTCAAAGCACATTATTTTAGTATTTTTTTTTTTTGATTTTTGACTAAACAATAAGGTAAAAAAAATTAATAGATTTAGAATGATTTTTTGACTTTTTATGAAAATATGTGAAAAAAATAGAAATAAAAATAAATCTTTAATTTTTTGACTTTTTAATTTTTTAAATATTTTTTGACTTTTAAATTAAAATATTGAATTAACAAATGAGACAAACAAAAGCAAAATAGGTGGAAATTGTTAGAAACAATACATAAAAAATAATGGGAATTATAACACCAAGGGGTAGTCGCGGTTTGGTTTTTGACGATTTGTGGATCGGTTTGGAAAAAAATTTAACTTGCAATCGTCTGCAGTGCAGGTTGCAGTTTGTGCGAATAGAGTTTGCAGATATGCGGGCGGTTTGCGAATTGAATTTTTTTTCTTTAAAAATTTATTTTGCAGCCTTTTTTCTCATTTTGTAAATATTTATTTTGGGCCCCTTTCCCTCCATTTTCTAAAATCATCAAACATTAACAATTAATGAATTAAAACTTATAAGATTAAAAACACAACAAAATCAATTCATAACACAAACAAATCATTCAAAATCCTAAACTTTTAAATCAAATAATAAACTAACACAAGCACATCTTTTAAAATTCTAAATTAGATCATCAATCTCATTCACTATCTACTACTCAACAATACAATTAAAGTAAAATCATTCAAATTCCTAAGTTTATCTAAAAGTAATTCTTTATTAACTTTTACATTCATAAAAAATGCAATAATAAAATAATAACGGTACAGGTTTAAAAAAAAAAAAAGGGTCTAAGTGCGGGCGAGTTCTTGTGAGTGCAGATTAAACCTGCAACCCGCAATCATGCCATATTCCAAACCGCATCTGCCCGCATTGTATTTGTGAAATCGTCCATTTATATACAGATCTGCTTGGGTTGGGCAGATTGTGTGATTCGGATAACCTTATACCCATCCCTACCAAACATAGAAAACTGTTGGTTTTTATAGTACACTCATGTCAGTTGACTTGCCATAAAAAAATTAAAAAGACAAAATATGTTTTTAATTTTGTGAATTTATAAACAAATACTTTAACTTTATAAGAAATGGCTGTCATTCACTTTCTTTTATTCTTTTATTTGCAAACTTTACAAGTGTGTTTGGTTTGTATTTCGAGATAAATTTTTTAAAAAAAAATTAGGAAGAGAATTTTAGATTTTTTTTTTTTAGTTTGTTTGATTATATATTTTGAATGTGTAGGAGAGAGAAAGTAATTTTGAAAAAAAAAATCCAAAAATTTGAACCAAACAAAATTTTGAAAATACTTCTCAAAAATTGTATCTTAATATGCAAACCAAACAAACCCTACGTACCTTTTGTTCTTCATTTTTTTTTTTTTGAAAAATGATTCATAGCTCGAAAATCTTTCTGCCCGAATGCCTTGACTATCCAAAATGACGTCGTTTTGGGCAGTTTTTTTTTTTTCCCTATTAGATCTCTGAAGGACAAACAAAGGGATGGAGAGAAAGGAAGAGAAAAAGAAAGAGAGAGAATAGAGAGAAAGAAAGAAGAAAGAAAGAGAGCTCCACCAGAGACTCCACTGATTATTCTTCTTCTTCTTTCAGGGTTTGAAATCGATCGATTTGATCGAAATCGATAGATATGGATTTCACAAAATTGATGGATGTTGATGATGATGATGTTGTTGTTGATGATGATGATGTTGATGAAGATGTTGATGATGATGATGATGATGTTGATGAAGATGTTGATGATGATGCTGATGATGATGTGTTGATGATGATGATGATAATGGTGATGATGTTGATGAAGATGTTGTTGTTGATAATGATGTATATCTCTCTCTCTATCTGTGTGTGTTCTCGAGCTCCCTCTTCTCCCTTTCTTGTCTTTTCTGCATCTTCAGAAAGAAAAGAGAAAGAAAAAAATAAAAATAAAAATAAAATCCAAAATGACGTTATTTTGGACTTGGGCCATTCGAGCCTTTTGTTTTTGAGCTACCAATCGGAACTGTTTTTTTCCCTTCATCTTTTCCTTGTTTTGTCAGTAAAACAAACCAGACTACTTGGTGATGGGTTTAAATAGTATTGAGAATAATGATGTCGTAGGATTTAGTTTGTTTCAAGCAACCTCATTCTTAAGATGAGATGTGGTTTGTGAATTATTTTTTTAGTTTTTTTTTAATTTGAAAAAAAATTACGTGTTTAGTAATTGTGAAAAATATTATTATTTTTTTTGATGTGAAGAAATTTTTTTTTTTTGATATTTTCATACTATTACTTTTTGTGATCATCTAAGAGGTCTTTTGAGAACAATAGTAAAAGCTAGCTTTTTAGTTTTTTAGTTTTTTTAGTCAAAAAGTCAGTTTGTTTACTCAAAATGACTCAATTTTTTTGCCAAAAAAATCACTAAAAAAACTAAAAATTCAAAAATTTAATTTTTTACTAACTTTTCATAACACCACTTATTACTATTTTCAAAATGATACATCTTTGCAAATAAATAATCAATTATAAGTAAAAAAAAAAATAAAAAAATACTAGGTAATATTGCTAGGAGAAAGGTTGTCAGACCAGATTGACTGATGGGAGTTGTTTGGGAGAGATGACAGGAGGTGATGGTTAGAGGGTGAGGGAATGAAAACATTTTAAAACTTGTGAATATGCATACATATATATGGGCCTTCTTAGAGAAATTATTTTAGTCGGTTAAAATATTTATATTTAAAAGTAAGATTAATTTTTTTTTAATTAAATATGATATTTATGAAAAAAAATAAAACAATTATTGTATAAATTTGATGTAACATTTTATTTTATTAATTATTTTATCTTTTTATGAATTTTAATAATAAAAAAAAACCAATTTTTAGCTTCCCATTCAATTTGTGTGTGTGTGTGTGTGGAAATTATGGAAACATTAATCAAACATAAATGTTTGTTTGGTTTGTATATCAAGATACAATTTTTGATAAAAAAATTTAAAATTTTGTTTGATTCAAATTTTTTGAATTTTTTTTTCCAAAATTTTTTTTTCTCTTTCACACATTAATCAATCACTTTTTCTCTCTCCTCTCTCATTCTCAATCATTTTTTCTCTCACTTACATTTACTCAACTATAAACTCCCAAATCATCCTAAACTTTCAAACTCTAAAACCATTTTCAAAGCCTTCGTTTGGCATGTTAGGCTTTTTGATTTTTTTGTTGTTTTAGCCACAAAAAGATAAAATAGACTTTTTAATCAAATAAGACAAAACATTACATCCAACTCATAATCATTTCATTTTTTTTCTTATAAAAGTCAAAAAACTTATCATAAACAAGATTTTTTAGCCTTAGACTAAAAAAATAAAAATATCTAAAAACTCAATCCACATCCCAAACGAATCCAAAATATATAATCAAACAAACTTAAAAATTTTTCTAAACTCTCTCTCTCTAATTTTTTTTTAAAAATTTATTTCAAAACACAAACCAAACGCATCGCTCCTTAGTTTGTAAATTTTTTTGTAGCATGGAAGCCCTAATAATTGCAAGCTTATGAAAGTGGAGGATAATTGTTGGCGACGAGAAAATGACAAAGGAAAAAATATAAATATTTTGGAAAATCGGAAGGTGGATTTCATCAATTTATAATTATTATGTGTTGTTTAACTATATGTGTTGTTAAAGTTGATTCATCACTAATTTAAAATTTTTATGTAATTTTCTTTATTTGCCTATTATGTCTTTTTAGAATTCGAAATAGTGTTTGTGGGGACATAATTTTTGAATGACAACACGTGGTCGAGGTGTCATCGAAGTGCCAGCCGAGGTGCCACGTGTCCTGGTC